TACTATTAGTATTATTATAGAACATGCACATGCATATTTACTATAAAAAAAATGAAAATTAACTAATACCAATGAAACTTCTACTTTAAAACTTTTTGTAATCCCTTGTAATTCGTAGTGTGTACTTCTAGATTGGTTGGTTGAAAGGAGAGCAAAAATACTCGTTGGCACAAGGGGAAGAGCGCATAAGAAATAGGGAGGCTAGAGGGTGTTAAGTTGTATAATTGATAGTACATGGTCGTAAGTGATAATATTGATAGGTAGGCAGCGTACCAGAAATCAAAACATTATTTTAAGGAACCGTTTCCAATCAATACCCCCCCACCCTCTCCCTCTCCCTCTCTCTCTCTCTCGGTTTCAGTACCCTTTTGAGTTTAAACAGAGTTCTAAAAGCGGATTTTTGAAACCAAAGTAGCGCTCACCTGCCCTCGTGCAGGCTCCTTATTTGTTTCCATTATAAAATTCTTCTTGTTCTTTTTCATTCTTTGGCAGCCTTGTTTAGAAAGCCATTTTTTTCCAAAAATTTTTTTTTATATTTTTAATATATATTTTTTAAATTATCTTTTTATTTCACATATATTAAATCGTTATATTATATTTTTTTACAAAAAATTTTAGAAAATAACAAGAACTCCTTTTTTCAGCAACCCCATTTATTCATTTTGCCTAACAATTTTCATCTATCAAACCTTTTCTTTTCTTTTTCTTTTGCCATATGGTCAAGGATTACTTGTGTCTTGAAATCTAATATGTACCCCAAGTAAGACATCAAATTCTAAATTAGGCCATATTAAACTATTTTGACTACATGATCTGGTAAATTGGTACTTTGGTAGGTAAACGTCTTTATAACTCGAAGTTGGTCATACTATACATGCCACAATGATCAGATGATCTTACACTCTGCATGCTTAATTACAAGAGCAAGTTTATCATAAAATTTATTAACAATACCGGCCAATTTAAAATAAAGAATTCAAGAAAAGTAATTTAGTGAGAGGATAAAATCTTTATGGTGGGAAAGTAAGATTAATTTGTGTTAGAGGAACATCCCAAGAGAATTTGGATTTTCTTTCACTGATTAATTAATCTTCCATTTAAATCTTAAAGTTTTTTAAAAAATTCGAAATTATATGTCCAACCACTGATATTGTGAATGGAAATACTCGACTCGACGCTATACAAATTTGCCCAAAATTAAGTGTTGATGCTAATTTCTATCATAGTTGTATAGGTAAATAGTGCTCGTACTCTTTCAATAATTACGTATGAGATTATGGTATTGTGGGAGGAATTGGTAACTTTGGTACGCAAAGTGTTTTAAAAAAAAAGTATTTATCAGAACTGATATTTGATAAATTTACATTGAAAAATGTTTCAAAAAAAATTATAGTACAAAGTGAGAATTGTTAGAGACATTGAGAGTGAAAATGGAATTAACAAAAAGGTTTATGAAGTTGAAGAGGACTCCCGATAAATAAGAGAAAATTAGAAAATACCCTTTCTCTCGTACCACCGTTTTGATACATAATCCAATTTTTATGACAATGCAAAAATTTCTCGTATCAAATTGGGAGGGCCATGCTATTATTACTCTAGCCTTTTAAAATCAAGATACGAGCCATCATCAAATTTGATTTCTCCCCATTCAACATTTTGTTTCCCTTCAAAAAGAGTTGTTGACCTTTTGTTTGATACTTCTTTTAACATTTAGCGGATTGAAGTTTCCAAATTTTCTCACAAAGTAAAGCCGTGGCCGACTTGTTCATAGCATTGAAAGGCGATGTCTACAAAAGCACAATTTGGAACCACAAAACTAAAGATTCGCATCTTCTTCAATTGCGTCTATCGAGTTACACGGCATTCGCAAAAATGAATTATTATAGGACCCCTTTCCCTGTATTGGCAGAAACTGACTAATTCTCTTCATATTTTTCTACAAAGAACTGTTGCCTGCTGTTGATCACACGAAAGCATCATGTTATGTCACACAAATTATGAATGCCACTTTAGCAAATAAAATAAAGATAAAAATATTAAATGAAATACTTCTTCTGATTTAAAAGCATTCTAACAATATATTTATTTCATGCACAGTGGACCATACATATAGCCGTTTAGATTCAGTGGACTGTCAACCAAAGCTTTGCAAGTAGAGCTGCTAATTAAGTTGACAAACAGGCACGTGCATGCGCTTCATATTAACTAGGCAACCCACCATTCAGCGCCAAGAAACCAATTATGGAATGACCCATCTTATTCTTTTTGTGATGATCGTTAGTAAATAGTAATCTAGTAACGAATATGGTTTGCTAGTTTCATTAGTGTTCACGAGCTTTTTTTTGGTTTTTTGTAACTTTGGGTTCATGTCGAAAAGTGTTGACCATACGAAGCTCCTAACTTATTATTGCTCCAACTAGAGGTGTTAAAATGAGTAATTCGCGCAAACACTGAGCTAAAGTTTAGTGACCACCACAAAGGGGGCCAAATCCCTCTTTGGATTGTTGGTCGGGATTTCGAACATTACCTGTAATGAAAAAAATTCAAAAGAAGTGTCAAAACACCCATTTTGTCTAATCAAATCTGAATACTTGCTAACCCCATTTTGTAGAATAAGATAGATTATGTTATATGAATGTTATTGTTGCGGCAAAAAAAAAAAAAAAAAAAGAGTAAGTTGTGCGGTTTCAGTTGGTCGTAAAATGCATCATAGGTATAATTAAGTTAATATATTTATATCCATTTAATAAATGAATTAAAATGAGTCAACCCATGTATACATAAATGAATATGGGAATATCCATTTATGACCCATTTGAAATTCTATTTGCATTTTTTTGTTTTTCGAATGTTATTTGACAAAGAATAATAATATTATTTTACTCTTATTGGGCTGATGAGAAATTCAAATTTATCAATCCATTTATACCTATTTAATAAATATATCAAAATGAGTCAATATGAATATACTCAACTACCTATTTATGACCAACCTGAAATTTTATTTGCTTTTTTTTTGTTTTTCCATATGTTATTTGACAAAAAAATAATAGCATTTTATTGTTATTGGATTGGTAAGAAATTGAAATTTATCAGCTTAACATCCAAATGTGCAATTTATTTTACATGGATATAAATTGATAATGCAAGTCAATCCATTACTCACCAATTAAATAGGTTTAGTGGAGTCATCTATTTAAACCCATTGAAAATTCATTACGTAGCCAAATTCACTTATTAATAAGCAAATTTGGATGAGTTATATAACTAGATTGGGAGGGGCTAAATCCGCATCCTTATATCCTAAATCCACACCCTAACAATCAATATGACAATTAAGTCCCTGTCACTTAATGACTTTCACTTATAACTTTTAACACTTCAAAATTATTATTTCATACAATGAAAACAATTTGCCATAACACTATTCTTTCAATTATTTTCCTAATTTTTGAAAAATTCACTGCATGTTGTTTTTAATAATTTGTACTGCATCAAGATCTTTAAACAATAATAAATTCATGAAACCAATCAAGTTACGTAATACAGTTAGAGATCATATGTACTTCAAGGGTGTTACTACATAAATAATTTCATCATTTCAACATAATATATATGCATCCTATAAAAGAAACTGAAAAACTGCCAAAAGAACATCCGATGATGCATAAATTTGGTATACTGTTTAATTAACAGCCAAAACCTCCAATGGGGTTACATATAAATGCCGAAATATAAGCAATTCTTGCAAGGAACATGGATACTATGATAATTTTGATTGTTATATACTAAAAAAACAAAAAATAAAAATAAAAATAAAAAAGAAGAAAAACAAATTAAAAATACACATTACACATCTTATAAGCTGAAGATTTTTCAAAACCCATGAGACTTTTGTTGAAAACATTTAGAAGAAAAGGTAATTGAAGAAATGGTTAAAAAAACGATGTTAAGCAAATTATTTGCAAGTATAAAAGTATAAATTTCGAATTGCAAAATCTTAGAAGAAATTTACTTAACCAATTGAATTGTAATTGACACATGGTTTTAGCCTCCAGAAAACGGTCACAGCCGGAAGGAAAAGCGGGCAAGGGTTGGTGGAAGAAATTAATCCCACTCATTCGTTGATTAGTGATTACTGCTTACTTTTGATGAAAAGAGTCATACCCTTGAAAGTACGATTATACTAGTAATGAGCATCTTTTCAACAGGTTAGGATTTTGATGTCTAAACACTTAAAACTTTCCTCTTGTAGCCCTGTTTGGATTGTCATTTTCTGACGGAAAATTGCGTTATTTTTCGTGATCACATTTTCATATTACCTTTTTTTCTCACATACTCAAATCGTTACAGTAAATTTTTCATGAAAAATCATAGAAAATGCAATCCAAACGTTCTAGTCATCGTAAAAATGACAATGAAGTCTCGAACAATTGCTCATCAAGAATCTTATATCTTTGATAATCGAGTTATATAATGGATAAATGGGAATCCATTTTGTCGATGAGAAAAGAAACGGAATATCCATTTTGGATTCATAAGTTTATTGGTTTTGATACCAAAAATGATCATTTATAATCCGAACACAGTCTTGTTCAAAAGTCCATTTGCCATGGACGATCACATCAGCAAGTGAAAATGCTTTCCAATAGGCCTTATGTTGATTGTGCTTTAAGGGCAACCCAAAAATTTTCTGCCTTCCACGTAAAGCACGGATAAACACAACTCTAATTTTCTTCAATTAATCCCTATTCAGTTCCCAATTTAATTTCACTTTCTGGGCACATACATTTGGCGCCTAAGTTTAAATCAGACAACTGAAATAACGACCTAACGGTCAAGTTGTTTCTTAAACATTCCAATTTATGTCATCTTCAATCCTAGTAGACAACATTTGAGGGGTCCAAAATTCCCAGTAAGTCTCCATCATCCTTCGAGATATAAAAGGAGCTGCTCAGTGACATATGATGCAAACAAATCCCAGAATAATCTCCAAAAGGTAGCATCAAAAAGTTAGTCCATTATAGATGGTTCAATCTCTTCCTATAAATTTCTTAAGATTTTGATCAGTGTTTTTGCAGAGATCATAGAACTGCACCAATAAAGCTTGACGGGCATAATGTCTGCTGAGGAGCTCAAGATTCGCGGCGAGCTGGAGATGGATGTCGAAAGAGAGCTAGAGGAAGAAATCAAAGAAGGAATATGCCATCTTGCTTTTAGGCTGCAGAGGCTATATCAGCAGCAAAAAGAAAGGCATGCCAAAGAATTATCTAAGCTTGGCATTAAAGGTCATCAACAAGGTAACGTGAGTAGCAGAATTCTGTCTGAGGTTAACATCAATATCAGAATGGAAGGTGGAACAAAGATTGAGATAAAAGAAATCAAGAAACAACCTGGCGAAAATCGCATGAGCACTCTGAAAACTGAGAGTACTGCCCGAGGAGGATTCATGCCTGCTACTAATTCTGCCAAGAAATTTGACTGGGCCAAGAGTCTTCGATCAGCTGGTCCGGGTTCTAGAGTTGATTGTTCTAATCAATCTAGAGTACTTGGTAATAAAGCTAAAATAAGTGCTTCTCAGCAGCAGCATAAGCTGAATATGGGTGTCAGGACAAAAATGCTGGAGCAAAATTTGAAAAAATGAGATGTCTTTTGAGCTGATTTTGGTTTTTCTGAGAGTTTCTTGACTTGAAAATAACGTAATTGTTTGGAGGAACTTTGTGTGTGCGTGCGTGATATAGTATTAAGAAAATCATTTCACTATCCAAACAGCTAGGAGAATGGAGTGCTACATTTTCAGGAAGGAATGAGAGTCGAAACTTGGCATATTTTGCTTAAGAGTGTGATTTTGTCGTTGCCCTTTATGTAAAGATTTTGATTGCAAGAATATATTGGCCGGTGCCATTTCTTTTCTCCTTCAAGCTCTCAATTTTTAAGCTCTTAATTTTAGGGCAACAATCAACAATTGTAAGAGAACAAGGGCGGAAAATTGCTCCTGTTTTCTTATTGTCCGGTAAAACTTTGCCCCTTCGGGTTCTCTCCCCACATACAAAAAGAAAAAGCTTATAAACTACCTTGACTTGGAGAATTTTGGGTGGATCGAGCCTGCGAATTATGAATATCATATATAGTTATTATAAATAACTTCAAGCACGAAAAGTTTGCAGAATACGAACATTTCAAGCATGATGAGTATAATCTAAGAAATATCTTGATTCGGATATGGGCTTCATCAAATGGACATCATTCAATGCCTTGCGAAATGAAGCCCAAATTCCTTCACCCCAAATTCTCTGATATTGCAGTGTAAAATTGCCCCCAAGTCAATGTGGATAGCTAGCGAGGAGTGCGTAAATATACAAGTGCATTTCACCGTTAATCTACAATAGCCCATACAGATACTACTGAACACAGGGCCCAGCATAGCTTTGAAGGCACAATAAATAAAACCTTTTTCTCCACGGTCATTGACACTTACTGACTCAACAAACTTTAACCCCAGAGCATACTTCAAAAGCCGGCAACTCTTGGAGCAGCCCCAGGAGACTTATCTACCCAGCAAACCCCAACCCCTTCCCCGATGTGGGACTAGAACTCACACAACCACCCTGCTACTAAGAAGTAGCATTAGCTAATGGTGGTACTAGAACTCACCCCAACCACCCTTCCCCGATGTGGGACTAGAACTCACACAACCACCCTGCTACTTATCTAATTGACACTTGGTCCAGCCTAATGGTGGTCATGTTCCCCTTAAACTCAAAGAAGTAGCAGCTAGGATTCAATGCCAATTCTTTTCTGAATAATTTATGATACTGTCATTGTCACGGGGCACAATCCGACCGCCTTATTCAATCTCACAAGAACTATATGAAAATTTATTTAAAAATCTGATTATATGTTGAAAATCTAGGACCCGGGGTTTTAACAATTCTTGTAAAGACAAATCCTTGCCATTTTAATATGCATAGGTAATAGGAAAATAACTTCACAGCATGTTTCCTTTGGAACATCGAAAAGAAACAAGGGAGGAAGAAGAAGAAATATTATTGGAATTTCGATCCAAGCTTTGGATCTATCGACTTTCTCGAACACGAAGCTTATCCTATAATAATTCTGGATTATTTACCCCCCAAAAAAAAAAAAAAGTCTGCATTTTTCTGTAAGAACACGCACAAACACTACTGTTACATTACGTATCCATGCACTGGTCACAACACACTAGACAACGCTATTCTCTTTCCCAATGAAAAGAATCAAGTGATGCAACAAACAGGTAATCTCAGAGATGATTCGACAACAACATTATTTTAATTGCTCTCCCAACTAATTAATAGTACAAAAATCTGGTTCAGCTCTTTCCTTCCCGAGATGCACGTCCATCCATGATCCAACACCAGACGTTTTCTAGTAGAATTAATTGATTCTACTTTCTTCCTCAGAATCGAAGGTTACTCAATCATAAGAACCTAGTTGGGCACCACGGAGTAGATTTAAAAACTCTCCTTGACGTAAGTTAGGGATCAAATACTTTGACTTATATATATATTTTTTAGATTTTTTGAAAATTTAACCAACAAGTGCGCAGCACCCGTCGTCTGATACGATGATAGTTCAATTTTCCTTGAATTCTCCGTTAATTTTTTTGATCCACCCCTTCTCTTAGTATAAAATAGGAGTAGAAGTGAAATAAAAATTATTGTGTCGACAAAAACAAAAGAAAACACCAGTTTAAAATACACTCGAAAGACATGTAATGCCATTTCATATTAGTCAATTATCATCATGATATCTTTATCCTTCGGATCGGACTACATGTGCTACCACCATTTTCATCCTCAAAAACATAATTAACTACCTTCTCTGACTTGCACATTTATTTATAAAGATAAAGAAATAAGTTGAAAAAACGTGTACTAAGGAAAAATATATATATTATACTAGCAAGGAAAGAATGCTTACTAAGGAAAAAATAATGGGCCTATTTGACAAGCAAATTTTTGATCAAATTTGTCTATTACAAGTTTTTTAACAACTTTAGTCACAGTAACTTTAAAAAATTTATCAAAATTTTAAAAAATATACACTTCAAAATATTCAAAATTTTTTATAACTTCTACAATAAACTACAGTAAAATTTTAGACAATCACCCAAAAAAACTTATTCGTCAAACGGGACTAATATTATGCTAGCTAGGACAAAATGTGTACTAAGGAAAAAATAAGTACTTGCATTCTTGCACAATGAAATTCAATTCAACTGAAAAAAGAAAGAAAGAAAAAATGTTACAAGAACTCTAGCATTGCAAGTGAAACAGTCAAGAAAGGCAGGTTTGATATTTAATGGTGCACTGAATTGAACTAGCTAGAGATGATGTACCACCTCCCACTGGTCCTTATGGGCATTGTACTTAGTCAAGCAAACCAATGCTCCAACGCCATTCTCATGAATCATTATATTATCACAGAAAAGAAAGGGATTGAGAGTGGAGAACGAGGAAGCACGACAATGAATGCAAGCATACGATCGGCGTCTGAAGATGGGAAGAAAAAAGTGCATACATTGAATTCCATAAAACCCCAGGCCAACATCTCATGAGTTTGCCAGTTTGGAATTCAGGACTCGTCCTCCCTAACCTTAAAGCTTCCGAACCACCTTCCATGGCACAATCAAAGCACACTGTGCCAGTGGTGGCGCAAGCAAACTTCTTTTCCAATACTCAACACTTCAACTATATTCATTCCATGCTTCAATCAAAGCACATTTTGCCTGTGGCGGAACAAGCAAACTTGTCTTCCAATGCTCAATACTTCAACTAGATTCATTAGGATTGCACCAACATTTAACTCAATAATAGCTAGTAATATATGTACCCAGACACATCAAACAAAAAAAGAATCCAACAAAAAAGAAAAAACTGAAATAGCAAATTAAAACGATACCAAGTCTTAGAATACAACATGAAATCTAAAGAAAGTCCTGACTTAGTTAAACTGATTAAAGACTAAAACTAGAACTGAAATTTCCCTCACAACCCCATCTCAACTCTTCTTAAACCTTCTCCTTCTACTTACAAGCAATATGTAATATATAACATATGAGTAACAAAATAAACCCTCCATTATAGTGGCCAACTAGAAATAGATAACCATAATGATTCTTCCCCTCTTCAGCTACCATTTTTTTTCCTTTTCTTTAACTAGGGTTTCTTACCAAGGGTATGCTTGTTATTATGCATCCAAACTTTAAGCACCTGCCTTTTGATTCCAAGCTCATTGCATAATTGCTGCACCACTTCTTCGTCTTGCTTTTGAATCTTCCACCCCAACTTTTCAGCTAAATCTGACATCTTCTCCTTCTGCTCCTGGCTAAATTTGGTCCGAAACCGCTTTTTCGACGACCCCACAAACCCTCCACCACCACCGCCACTCCGGCCGCCGCCGCTGGTGTTCATGTTTGACATGTCCTCGTGCTCCCCTCCACCGGAAATCGAAGGCAGGGCTAGCGGCCTATTCTGCTGGGGAGGTGACACGTGGAGGTACCCCGATGGGGTACGGTAAGTTAAAAGTTGCGGCGGAGGCGGCGGCGGTTGCTGGTGGTAGTGGTGGTGGTATAAATGAAAAGGGTCGTGGGGGGGCAGGCCGGGGAGGGCTTCTTTGCGGTGGAAGTTACGGTGGCAGTTGCAGGCGGCGCATTTGAGTGCGTCGAGTGTTCCTTCAGCTCCAGCAGCTAAGAACTCGCCGCAGCCATCGACGGCGTGGCCGCCAATGCCGACGGCATGGTTCTTTAAGCATTCTCGGTACCTGGGCTTTCTCTGGGAGGTTGGCTCAGCTGACATTTCCACTGGGCTTGGTACTTTGTTGGAGACCCGAGTGGAGTTCGAGTTGCCCAGTGAGTCGTAACTCGGACCCAGCTCCATCTCAACTCCTTCATTCTCTTCTTGATCCTCAAACTCCATGTTTTCTTAGCTAAATTGACTACCTAATTATCTCCCAAGTCACTACTTTTTTGTATCTGTATAAATAGTTGACAGTACTTACTCTAACTTAAACCCTAGGAGAGAGAGTTACCGTCTACCTGAAAATGCCTTATCTTTTAACTCATGGAATTAGGATGATAAGACAAATGAGAAATTGTGGACAAAAATCTTCTTCATCATGGGCTCAACTTATCTAATCTGTTTATCCTACATTAAATGTATTTTAAATTAAATGCCTTTGTATTTATCCTTTTATATAATATAAAAGAAAAGCACACATATGTATTGGGATCTGTAATATAATAATACTAGTTAGTTTTAAATGAAAAGTAATGCAAGTATTCAGTATTCTTTTTTTTTTTTTTACTATTTCAAGTGTATTTACTGTAAGATGAAAAGCATATTTTGCAGTTTTAAACGTTCTATACAGCGCGATTATATTCATTTGAACAAATTGTAACTCTATTTCATTAATAGTATAAATTATCTTAAACATGGGCCTTATTTGGCAGATAAGTTTTTTACCAAGTTTGTCTGCTATAAATTTTTTAAAAACTTTAACTACAGTAATCTTTAAAAACTTCTCAAAATTTTTGAACTATACACTTCAAAATATTTTTTAAAAAAAACACACATTTAAAAATTTTTTTAAAAACTTCTACAGTAAATTTTTAGACAAACACCCAAAAAATTCACTTGCCAAACGGGGCCATAGTTTAAGCATAAACACTTATTTGCGAGTTTCATATTTGACGTTGAAAATAATGTACATCACATTTTTAAATTTCAAAATTCGGCCAATCAAAATCATGGGCCTTCTGACCATAATGTCTCTAATTCAACATTTGCTTAGGAGTTCGGACCAATATGCTATTCGAGATCG